AGCAGCCGCATCTCAGGCATAAAGAAAGGAGGGAGACAAGTCTTTACTGAGACTCCACTTGGTAGGTACTTTGGGTGGGGTGGGGGTTTTGGGTCACACCTGGTGGTGTTCAGGGACTATGCCTGGCTCTGTGTTCGGGGGTCACTGCTGACAATGTTTCGGAGACCATATTGGGTGGTAGACTTTGAACTGGGGTCATCCATATTGCTTTGAATGGGGGTTGTCCTACATGCTGTACTATTGCTCTGGCCCCATTATTTTACTTTATTTATAAGCAGAAAATAGATGGTGTAAGGCAAGGTTTAGACTTTGCCCAGTACTACACTATACGCAAATGTCAGTTCTTGTTTGGGGGCCACACCTGGCACTGAGCTCAGGGATCACTCCTGATGGGGCTCAGGGAACCCTGTGGGGTGCTGGGGACAGAACCCAGGTCAACTGCATGCAAGGCTAGTACCTTACTCCTAACCTGCTATCTCTAACCCTAGGCAAATGTTAATTCTACTAATGTTAGCCAGATTAAGCACTGGGCGGTGGGGGCCTAGGGGGTGTAGTGAGGAGTAAGGGAGGAGGAAGGCAGGAAGAGATCAAGAAAAAGCTTTTAAAGATAAAAAGAAGTCCAAACTCTGGGCCAGCAAGGGCTGCTGGAGTTTCTGCCCTGGAGCCACCGGGGTGCTGTCCTGTGAAAATAGCTCCCCTATCACTGTCACTGTCACTGTCCTCCCGTTGTTCATCGATTTGCTCGAGCGGGCCCAGTAACGTCTCCATTGGAGACTTTGTTGTTACTGTGTTTGGCATATTGAATACATCATGGGTAGCTTGCCAGGCTCTGCCATGCGGGCGAGATGCTCTCGGTAGCTTGCTGGTCTCTCCGAGAGGAGCGGAGGAATCGAACTCGGGTCGGCCATGTCGGCTGCGTGCAAGGCAAACGCCCTACCACTGTGCTATCGCTCCAGCCCCCCCATCACTAGTGCCATCTAAGTCCAAGGGCGGTAACCCTATAACCTGAGGGGAGAAGGGAGCTGGGTTCGTTAAAGGGTGACTTTGGGAGGGACTTTGAACCAACACTCAGGTCCTTGGCGAATGAGTGAGTGTTGAGCCTGCTGTCATTTGAGGCTGCTAAGCGGAATTAACTTTTCCCTTTGCTGGGGATAGCTAAATAAGAAATATTCCAGTGAGAGGTTGGCTGGGGACTTCCCTGCAAGCACTCAGGCATGGTCATCTTCAAAACAAGCAGGCTCAGATTGGCGCCCCAGGAGGTTTGATTCGGAGCAGGAGCCCATCCCCTGCTAAAGGCTCTCTAGCTGGGTGCTCATGTCTCCCGGTGGAGAGGGGTAGGGGGTGGGGTGGAAGATGTGGACAGCAGTGGATTCCTCTAGTTGCAACAGCTATGATGTGACCTCTGACCTTTACCTTTGTTTCCACATAAACCCAAGTACACAAAAACCTTATTTTCCTGGCTGGGGGGGATAAAAAAAAAACAGGCGACAAAGCAGTTCAGGAGAAAACTGGGGCTTCGGTAAGAAAGGTGGAGGGAATGCTTGCCTCCACCTCCCCTGGCAGGTTCCCCAGGACTGAGTGAGTGTGGCAGGCCCTGCCTAGACACTCTGAACGGGGCCTGGAGGCTAGTTCGCAGTGAGCACCTTCAGCAAGCACCTGACTGTATACCCAGGCCTGCAGGGGCCAGTGCGTATGAAATAAGCAGTTTCTCTAGGTCGGGCCTGTAAGAGTTTTGCCAACACACCATTTCCTTTTCCTTTTGTTTGTTTTGTTTTGGAGCCACACCTGGCGGTGCTCAGGGGTTACTCCTGGCTCTGCACTCAGGATTACTCCTTCTAGTAAGCGGGGGGGACCATATGGGATGCTGGGGATCGAACCTGGGTCAGCCACATGCAAAGCAAATGCCCTCCATGCTGTACTATTGCCAGGCCCTTTCCTTTTCCTTAGAGGAGACAGAGCTAGTGCATGTCCCCAAACCCTGTCATTTCTGTCTGCTCAGGCTCGGCAGGTGTCAACTCCATGGCAGGTACACAGTGGCAGTTCCAGCTTCACGATCACGGTCACGATCCTCCCGTTGTTCACGGTCACGATCCTCCCGTTGTTCATCGATTTGCTCGAGCGGGCCCAGTAACGTCTCCATCATGAGACTTGTTGTTACTGTGTCTGGCATATCGAATACGTCACGGGGAGCTTGCCAGGCTCTGCCGTGCGGGCGAGATGCTCTCGGCAGCTTGCCGGGCTCTCCGAGAGGGGCGGAGGAATCGAACTCTGGTCGGCCATGTTGGCTGCCTGCAAGGCAAACGCCCTACTGCTGTGCTATCGCTCCAGCCCAGTTCCAGCTTAGGAGGTGCTTAAAGATGCAGGGGACGGAAGTGGGCAGCCAAGATGGGGAGGCAGTGGGTCTTGCAGTCACCAGCTTCAATCTCAGAAGTTCTGTCTCTTTCCTTCGTGCATGTAACACCTGCTACAAAAGGGACTCTCCTAGAGTAAGAGAGAAATTGTCTGCCATAGAGGCAGGGGGAGGGGTGGGACCTGGTAGGGGGAGGGATACTGGGTACATTGATGGCAGAAAATGTACAACGGTGGAGGGATGGGTGTTCAATCGTTATATGACTGAAACTCAAACATGAAAGCTTTGTAATTGTAGCTCACGGTGGTTCAATAAAAAAAAATAAGAAAGAAAAAAGAAAAAAGAGAGGGGCTCTCTTGGGCCAACTGTTTGAAATCCTGTCTAGTCTCCTAAACTCTTTACACTCTCCCCACTCTGCAGAGCTCTGGCAGAAATTTTCTCCACCTTAAGTATCCCGGTCTAGGTCTGCTTGCCATTGCACTTGACCTTTCTCTTTATAGGCTGCTTGTCCACCTCCCGCACCCCCCCATTGTACATGGCACCTTCTTTACAGTCCCATGTATTCTAACCCAGCATCCTTTGTGATCGGACCTAGCCCCTGGTGGTCATAGCTGTTTGTTTTTTTTTTTTGAGGTGTCATAGCTTACAATAGTAGAGCCCGGCAAGCTACCGAGAGTATCTCGCCCACACGGCAAAACCTGGCAAGCTACCCATGCCGTATTTGATATGCCAAACACAGTAACAAGTCTCACAATGTTACTGGGCCCGCTCGAGCAAATCGATGAACAATGGGAGGACAGTGACAGTGACTAGACTCATTGTTTTTTTTTTGTTTGTTTGTTTGGGGAGCCACACACAGCAGGGTGCTCAGGGCACCATACGGGTGCCCAGGATCTGCCCTGGGTTGGCTGAATGCAAGGCAAAGCCCTGTATCCAGCCACTGAAGTCATCATTTATAGTTCGTGTGGGATTACACCATCCCTCCACCAGGGCTTCAAGACCCCTCTACCATTGTACCTCCTCTAGTCTGTCGCCTATGACTTCATGAGGGAGACAGCACTATTTTCTTGAGTCTTCCACTTCTCTGCTCAGCCCTTCTTGGCTACAGCATTGGGAGATGCCTGGCTTGGATCAGGACTGATAAAGTCTGCTCTGAGCACCTACCACACAGACACATGTGTACTCCCAGCCTGGTGAAGTAGCTGCTCAAGTGAGCTTGTTCGGCAGAGTGCGGGGGATGGTCCCTGCCAGCTGATTTCTCCGGGAGTGGTGGACTCAGGCTGGAACAGGGAACTGCTCTATGCAGGAAAGTCAGCTCTAACCTTAGCACAGCTGTTCTGAGCCCGTCACCTACCCACACAGGAACGAATTTTAGGAGGCAAAATCGTGAAGCAAGAGAGATTTTCTTAAACAAAATTTACTTAGATGTGAGGAAGAGAGGAATCTGTTCAAGAAAGAACAGGGGCTTGAGGGGGTAAGCCCCAATTTTTGGGGGAGGAGCTTTTATACAATTTTTCCAAATGTTTTTTTTTTCCTGGAGTTTTGCATATATGAAAGTTAATCTGGGCATTGTCTTCTCATATCTCATCCCTTGAACTGCTGATGTTTTCATAATCTCATAGATTCTTCTGTGACTTCTCCTTTTCTGAAGGGTCCGCCCTTCTCTGGGTGGAACCTTCCTGGGATGTTTGCATTAGGGTGGTGCCTCTGTTTCTCCTCTGAAGAACATAGAATTTTCCCCCCTTTTTCATTGAGTCACCTTGAATTACAAAATTATTCACGATTTTCAGATTTATACTGTTCCAACACTACTCCCTTCACCTAGTCCCCTTCCTTCCACCAAAGTTCCCAGTTTTCTACCAGCACCACACCCCCTCCCCCTACCTGGAAGCCTGGAAGGGAGACACTTCACCCCCCCCCCCCCCCCCACTGTGGTTTACAATGCAGTAATGCAGCTGCTGATAGGGCATCATGCATATCACTTTACCTCCTTCCAGCACTCCTACTTCTGTGCTGTGACCATTCCCTCCCCCTGTCTCGTCAAAGGGATGTTGTTTCCCCAAAGTCTCAGGGCCCTGCTACCTCCCAGCCTCCCCGTTCTCCCCCAGTTCTATCGATTATGTCTCTGGGTTAGTTTGCTCTAGGGATTGCCTAATCCCTTGTGCTGTTCCCATATTCCCCCTTCCCCCCAAGGGTGATCATTGTTGGATATTTATCTTTTACTGACACATCAGAATTGCATGACCCCTGCAATTCCATCCACCTTGCAGCAAACTGCAAAATTGCATCTTTTCTCCTAGCTCGATGGTATTTCATATATATATATATATATATATATATATATATATATTTCGATCTCTCTTCATTTGTTGGGGTTGTTTCCAGATCTTTCCTCCCAATACTCTTCCTCACGGTACGTATCATAATCCTTCGCTTTGTCACGTGCCCGCTGGGAGACAGTGAGGGAAGTAGGGCTTCTGGTCAATAACGGAATGAATGAACAAATGATCGGAGGCGGTGTCGGGGCTGGAGCCGAGGTGAAGCTCCCGGAGGCGGTGGGGCGGGCTGCAGGGTAGCACCCGCGGGAGAGAACAGGCGCGCACCGCCTCCGGGTCAAAGCAAATCTCCGAAGTGGGCGGGGAGGGGTGTACCCAGCCCGGGCCAAAGTCTAACCCCGCTGGGGGCTGCACGCAGGACTACTTATAGCTAACGACCCGCAGCGCCGGGCCTCTAGCCTGCCCCCGCCAGCGCGTCCAGAGCCAGGTCAGCGGAGGGCGCGCGGGCGGGCGGGGAGCGGGGCGACACGGGTGGCAGTGCCCGCCGGGCCGGGACCCGCAGACGCGGCGCGGGCGGAGGCGGGGCGGGCGCGGGAACTACACTTCCCAGAGGGCCGGGCACGCTGGCCCGGAAAGCGCCGCGCCACGGGCGGCCCGAGGGCCTGCGCGCTCCGTCCAGAGGCGGCCCCGGGTCGAGGCCCCGGGCCGGGGCGGGGGAGGGGGGGCATGCGAGGCCAGCTGGCGGGGCTCGACTGCTGCGCGGGCCTCGGCAATATCGACTTCGGGCAGGTACGCACCGCGCCGGGCCGGGCCGAGCCGAGCCGAGCCGAGCGCGCCGCCGCCGCCGCCGCCGCCGCCAAGTCGCCGCTTCCGACTTGGGCCGGGCGGGGCCGCGCGTTACCAGGCAACGGGGCAGGGGCGGGGCCCGGGGATCCCGGCCTGGGTAGGCTGACCATGCGTCTCCGGGGGTGTGGGCGCACGTGCGTGCTTGCTTGTCGGGGTGTCCGGGGCCTCTCCCGCCTCCCACCCAGGCAAGACAAGGGTTGAACCCAGAGCCAAGTGCTGGTGGCGGAGTCTGCGGGTCGAGGGGCTGCCCCTCCGCAGAGGATGGGCTTTTTTGGTCGACTTCTCCCGGCTCCCTATCCCGGTAGCTTTTAGTCGCTTCTGCATTCTGCTTGCTTTCTTATTTTAAATTTAGTTTCTCGGTCACACCCGGCGATGCTGGGGTTACTCCTGGCTCTGCACTCAGGAATCACTCCTGGCGGTCCTTGGGGATGCCGGGGATCGAACACGAGTGGGCCGCGTGCAAGGCCAGTGCCCTTACCGCTGTACTATCGCTCCCACCCCATGCCTTCCTTCTGAAGCCTTCCCTTAGGCTTGTCTGGTTTTTTGATCTCATGCAACGTGTAAGATTTTCTACTGAGCTACACCCCCAGTCCCCTAGTTAAGCGGTTTTTGTTTTTATTCATTTATTAAGTTTCGGTGCTGCATCTGGCGGTGCTCAGGGCTTGCTCCTGGCTCTGGGCTTGGAGTCGGTCCTGGTGGCACATGCTACTGGGACCATATGGGATGCCTGGGATCGAATCCAGGTCAGCGGTGTGCAAGGCAGATTCCCTTCCTATTATACTATGGCTCATTCCCTTATTTTTGCTTTTAAATAGGGGTCACAGTAGTGTTCTAGGAGCCATGCCAAGTCGGGGCTGCACAGCGGGGAGGGCATTTGCCTTGCATGCGGCTGACCCGGGTTCTATTCCTCCACCCTTCTTGGAGAGTCCAGCAAGCTACTGAGAGTATCTCGCCTGCATGGCAGAGCCTGGCAAGCTACCCTTGACGTATTTGATATGCCAAAAACAGTAACAACAAGTCTCACAATTTGTTGTGAGACGTTACTGGTGCCTGCTCGAGCAAATCGATGAACAGGAGGACAGTGCTACAGTACCTACTTGTACTTGAGCCATACCTGCACGTGACCCCCACTCACACCAGTCAGCTACTTTTTTTTGTTTTGTTTTTCTGAGCTACAGCAAGCTGTGTTCAGGGGTCATTCCTGGAGGTACTCACTCAGGGGACCATAGGTGGGGTTAGGGATTGAACCTGGGTTTCCATATGCAAAGTAGAGGAAGCACTACTTGCTGTATTATCTCTCCACCTTGCAGTTAGCTGTCCGTTTTTTTTTTGTGTGTGTGCCATTCCCAGCTATGCTCAGGAATTACTCCTACCTCTGTGCTCAGGGCTCACTCCTGGCAGGGCTCAGGGGACCATGCGGGGTGCTGGGAATCAAACCTCCTCAGTCAGTCATGTGCAAGGCAAGTGTCTGTTGCTCCAGCCCTGCAGTTAGCCGTTCATGGAGGACCTGAGATCTGTTTCTGGCCGAGCGCTCTTCAGTCTTGCCCAGTGCTTCATCAGCTATCTCAGTTGATCACCTGTTTTTGGGGGGACAGTTAAGGGTGTGCTCTTAACAGAGGATGAGGATAAGCCTGGAAATGACATTCACTGAAAGAGCTTAATTGATCTAGAGAGTTGGGTGGGGTGGAGGGGTTGATACTCAGATCACCCATAGTAAATAACTAGTTTTCTGAGAGAAGTTGAGGCTGAATGATAAACCCTGGTACTCCAGGGCCTGGGAAGAACAGCCTAGGGCTTGAGGAGGGAGTATTCCTCCTGGGAATACAGAAGGACTATAGAAGTTGAATGGGAAGTAGGAGAGAAGAGGGGTTAAACTTTTATTTATTTATTTATTTATTTAGTCCTACCTGGCAGTGCTCAGGGATTACTCCTAGCAGGTCTCAGGGGACCAAATGGGGTGTCAGGGATTGGATCCAGGCTAGATGTCAGCAAGGTAAGTGCCGTTGACTTGCCAAGGCAAATATTATCACTTGGCCCAATGGCCCAACTTTCTAGTTTTTAAATTTTTATTATTTTGGTTTTTGGGCCACAGCTGGCAGAGCCAGGGTTACTCCTGGCTTTGCACTCCGGTGGGGGTTGAGTAACTACATGTGGTCCCAAGGATTGAACCTGAGTGGGCTGAGAGCAAGGCAAGTGCCCTACCCGCTTTATTATCACTCAGTGCCCCCTCCCAATCCTGATTCTAGCATGGCACTTTTTTTTTTCTTTTTGGGTCACACCTGGCAATCCACAGGGGTTACTCCTGACTCTGCACTCAGGAATCACCCCTGGTGGTGTTCAGGGGATCATATGCGATCCTGGGAATTGAACCCAGGTTGGCGTGCAAAGCAAATGCCCTATCTGCGGTGCTATCGCTTCAGCCCCTATTATGGCACTTTTAATGGGAGCGTCATACACCAGAGATCCGCAGGGTACAACTCCTGCTTTGGATCAAATGAAAACTGCGTTCAGGTCAAGATAGTGTCTCTCCATTGCCTGAGTTAGTCCCTCAGTGTTGTGGGAGTGGTAATCTTTAGAATCTTAAGCTCAATGGGCTAAAGCTTAGCTGTAGTCCCTGCTTTCTGTGTGTGGCCTGACTTGGGAGAGAGCACTGCTCCTTAGGAGATTCTGTGTGGCGTGTCACCACTCAAGGTGCAGAAGCCTCCAGCCAGGAGCAGATTTCAGGGGCACTGTGGGCCCCCCCAGAGGGTGGGGGTTCTATTCTCTGGCATCTGAAGCAAGGTCTGCTTTCTACAGAGCATCAGCCACGGGGGTGTGTGGGACAAACAAGGGATCTCACTTCTCTGCTTTATTGGATCCAGAGCTTGATGGAGCTATGTGGTTGGAGAGAATTGGGAACGTTGGGGGTCATGGTAACCCTACTGGACTCATCATTCACTCTTCATGGATGCAGTCTTTGCTTATTATTATTATTGTTTGGTTTTGGTTCGTGGGCCACTCCCAGTCAGGATTTACTCCTGGTTCTGCACTCCATCACCCCTTGTGAGGCTCAGGTGACTGTATGTGGTGCCAGGCTTGACTGCCGAAGGCAAGTGCCCAGCCCACTGTGCGATAGCTCCAACCTCATGTCTTTTCTTATTTTGTTTGCTGTGTTCCTGAATATTGGTTTAGATTGTGGTGTCTTTGGTTTTACTATTAAGATTATGCTGGTCTTTGTGTGTGTGTGTGTGTGTGTGTGTGTGTGTGTGTGATCCCTTGGACTGGACCCACAGGTACTACATCATGGAGCTACATCAGTTTCCTTAATACTGTCTCCTAATCTCTGTATTTAGTATTTAGTATATGTGCTGCCGAAGCGATAGCACAGCGGGTAAGGCGTTTGCCTTGCAAGCAGCCAATATGGCCGACCCGAGTTCGATTCCTCCGCCCCTCTCGGAGAGCCCGGCAAGCTACGAGAGTATCTCACCCGCCCGGCAGAGCCTGGCAAGCTACTCGTGGCGTATTCGATATGCCAAATACAGTGACAAGTCTCACGATGGAGATGTTACTGGGCCCGCTCAAGCAAATCGATGAATAATGGGAGGACCGTGACCGTGTCTCCTAATGTGAATTTAGAAGCAAGTAGAATTCATCCAGTGAAGGGGCTGGGGAGATAGTGTAGAGAGGTAAGGCATCCCATGATGCTGGTTTAAACCCTGGCTCCACCTGGTCCATGAGCATTGCTGGGATTTGACCCTTGGATTTTTTGTAAGGGTCTTCTTTAATATTTTCTATTGATTTCTAGTTTAGTTTTGTTACTGTTGGAGAACATTGTTTGTATGCTTTCTTGTTTCCTGGGGAGGAGCTGACTCCGACTCAGGGGCCAACTCAGGGGCCACACTTGAAAGTGCTTGGGGCTACATGTGGTGCTGGGATTGAAGCATCATGATAGCCAGTGGAGCTCAGGTAGTGCTTCCATTTTGGTCTGGGCACTGAAGCAAGGTTGGCTGTGAGCAAAGCAAGTAGCTTACCACTGTACTGTTTCTTAGTTGTTTATCTTAAATTTAACCTTTGTTTACGCTAGTAACATGTGCAGTAGAGAAGAAGTGCTGGGATTTAGGCAAGTGGTGGGTGTGGGGTTGGAGTTATCCTGTGACTGATTTTATGCCCACCTGCCCTGTCAGTTACCAGAGGCTTGTCGAGGTGTCCAACTCTAATTGTGACCATGTCTGTTTCACCTTTGGTGCTGATGGTGTTTTGCGTTATGTGTATATCAGCCTCAGTAGTTTTCATGTGTAAAATGGCTCCCAGAGTTGATGACGTGGCCTCAGTCACATCTGTCACACTTCACTATGTGCCCGGCACTGGTCTGAATGCTTTCCCCTTGCATTATCTTGCCTTCCTCTTGTATCTGGCCTCCGGGAAGCAGGTGGCATTTGCCAGCAAAGCGGATGACTTGGCCAAGCCCTGCCAGTCTGGGTGGGCCTGTTGCAGGACAACTCTGCCCTGCCTTATTAATGCGTCTTGCCAGCTCTGGGCAGCTGCTTCCCAGCAAAACGGTGAGGGTCAACTGGCCGATCGCTGTTGTCCTCAACGCTGTGTGATTGATGGACTTATATGTAATATATGTAGTGTGCACTTATTATTGTACATTTTTTTTTT